ACTGCTAGCACACACAATCCTACCACAACCACTTTCAGTACATCTACTTCTGCTTCTTCAGCATTCCAAGTCTTTTAGGTTCACTGCTGCAGATATCCCCCGTCTCCATTTATCTCTGTGACTGGTTTTCTCTTTCTAATCGAGAACTCCCAGTGTTTGCAGATCTACCTGTATATTATATCTCTACTATTTTCTTCATCTACTCTTATCCAGCTCTTTTCAGCAGCCAGTCTTTGCCTCTATGTTATCTATTATTTCCCTAAACTCTCTAGCCATCGTAGATTTGTAGCCAATATAATGCCAGTAATAAGCGATTATATAAACAGATCGTGAATTAATTCTTATTTCTCACTCTCCGTTCTTAAATGTTTGATTGGTAGAAGCGAGGGAAGAGAGGGAACAAACATCCCAGGAGCTACAAGCGACAGTAGACATAGTGACTGAGTGGTGTACAGAAATGAGGGCTGTCGTCCACCTCGAAAAGGCGAGTTTTGTGGTGTTCTTTAGACAACAGGATCGTTAAAGATTTTGTCCCAAGTCTCACGATAGGTGGTAGAAACATCAATAGAGAGAGCAAACTCTAGTATCTGGGAATTAGATTTGACATGAGCCTGTCCTTTAAGGACCATGTGGAGAGCGTTGTGACAAGCTGACAAAAAGGACTTAGTGCACTTAAGACTATGGCTGCAATTGACATAGAGCTGAGAATGCCTTTCACACTATATCAGCACCTGATCCTGTCAGTGGTTGATTATGGCCTGGGAGTGCTTACCGTCTCAAAGAGTCGGATGGACAAACTAGAGCGCAAACAGAACTCAGCAATGCGGGTCACTCTGGGTTGCACCAGAGACATCCCAGTGGTGTGTTTGCTACACATACTTGGTTTACCGACTATTGCAGGTAGGCACAAGGTGCCGCAAGCGAAGTCGTATCTCAGGGTAGCTGCAGACACAGACCACACTTTGCACGAAGCTCTGGGTGAAGTTAAGGGTCAGCGGCTGATAAGAGGGAAGCCATGGGTGGCTCAGGCAGAACACAATCAGACAATTTTGCATCCTTGAAAACATTAGGCGAGGAGAGGAGTGGGTCAAAGTGCAACCTAAACAATCAGACTTGTGAAGGGTCATAATCACGCTGAGCTGGGAATGTAGAGACTGGCCAGCAGGTGCCACGGAGGTGAAAATTCAGCAATTAATTCAAGATAATGCTCGCTCAGAAGATTTGATAATTTACACAGAAGGTTCAGTGTCAAGAGGCAAAAGAAGTGCTTGGGGTTTCTTGGCAAAAGTTAATGGTCGACGTTTGGTGCAGGAGAACTTAGCATATGATACCACAACACCCAGCTTAAGAATGGAGGTGGAGGCGGTCAAAACCTGATCATCCATTATGTTGATTTTGTGAGGTGGCGCGCCAGTTTATGAGATAATACATAATGACGAACTAGGTGGCAACGAAATTAGCTACATGTTTTTTTCCTGATCGTTGGCCTCGGACTGTGAGTGGGCTGGTTCAAACATTAGTGGCACATATTGCGTGGGCGGGCCTGGCCATAACAGGAAGTATGGAAATAGCGCTAGACTTGAACCCTAGCAGTGCCACAGCTGGACACGTAGCTACTTGGACAAGGTTTGTGGGGTTGTGTTGTTAACTTTTACAGACAGTTGTAGGGACACCGACATAGTTGGACAAGGTTGGCGGGGTGTGTTGTTAACTCTTACAAACAGTTTTAGGGACACAGACATAGTTGGACAAGGTTTGTGGGGTTGTGTTGTTAACTCTTACCAGACAGTTGTTGTAGACACCGACATAGTTGGACAAGGTTTGTGGGATTGTGTTGTTAACTCTTACATACAGACAGTTGCAGGGACACCGACATAGTTGGACAAGGTTTGTAGGATTGTGTTGTTAACTCATACATACAGACAGTTGCAGGGACACCGACATAGTTGGACAAGGTTTGTGGGATTGTGTTGTTAACTCTTACATACAGACAGTTGCAGGGACACCGACATAGTTGGACAAGGTTTGTAGGATTGTGTTGTTAACTCATACATACAGACAGTTGCAGGGACACCGACATAGTTAGACAAGGTTTGTGGGGTTGTGTTGTTAACTCTTACAGACAGTTGTAGAGACACCGACATAGTTGGACAAGGTTTGTGGGATTGTGTTGTTAACTCTTACACTTACATACAGACAGTTGCAGGGACACCGACATAGTTGGACAAGGTTTGTGGGATTGTGTTGTTAACTCTTACAGACAGTTGTAGTTGTAGAGACACCGACATAGTTGGACAAGGTTTGTGGGATTGTGTTGTTAACTCTTACATACAGACAGTTGCAGGGACACCGACATAGTTGGACAAGGTTTGTAGGATTGTGTTGTTAACTCTTACAGACAGTTGTAGTTGTAGGGACACCGACATAGTTGGACAAGGTTTGTGGGGTTGTGTTGTTAACTCTTACAGACAGTTGCAGGGACACCGACATAGTTGGACAAGGTTTGTGGGGTTGTGTTGTTAACTCTTACAGACAGTTGTAGGGACACCGACATAGTTGGACAAGGTTTTTGGGGTTGTGTTGTTAACTCTTACAGACAGTTGTTGGAGAGACACCGACATAGTTGGACAAGGTTTTTGGGGTTGTGTTGTTAACTCTTACAGACAGTTGTTGGAGAGACACCGACATAGTTGGACAAGGTTTGTGGGATTGTGTTGTTAACTCTTACAGACAGTTGCAGGGACACCAACATAGTTGGACAAGGTTTGTGGGGTTGTGTTGTTAACTCTTACAGACAGTTGCAGGGACACTGACATAGTTGGACAAGGTTTGTGGTGTGTTGTTAACTCTTACAGACAGTTGTTGGGACACCGACATTAGATACTTTAGTCAAATTTTTAAAATGCCCTCTACACCAATAAAACCAGTACAGTTAGATAGCTGTAAACAATCTCTTTCCAACGGTACCTCGTTTAGGCTTGTATGTCATTTCTGAGCTGATATATGTAGGTTTTTGTGGAGATGATGTAGAAAACAGCTGTTGAAAACTTGCGTCCCAGAAACAAGAAGTTTTCTCTGCGCAACCAAACTGCGCACTTCTGTTTTGGCTTTCTTTACATTGGACAAGATGGCAGACAATTTTTCTCAGACACAGCCACATAATAGCGATTGCCTGAAAAATATCACTGTAAATCAAATTAGCCATACCTAGGAAAGAAATGTTATATACAAATGTAAAATTGGACGGAGAATTCAATTATAAATAGCATTACCATGTCTGGTAATGTTTAAGGCCTAAAGCCAACCTTGAATACTTTACCGCTATTTTCAATCAAACTGATGTAACAGAAAAACAGAGGACGTCCGGCTGTCATAGACATGCGCTGTTAAAAGGGTTCGTTCCCGCCGTTTTCAGCTATTTATAGCTGGTGAAAATCACACCAATCACAAAATTTCATGAGAGATTAGGACCCATCCCGAAACCCTAGCTGACATTTCCCAAACAAGTTTCAAACGGTTTCCATGGTAACGGAAATTGCCAAAAAGACCACACATTTCCGAACACCGTAGTCGCTACCGACATAGTTGGACAAGGTTTGTGGGGTTGTGTTATTAACTCTTACAAAAAGTTGTTGTAGGGACACTGACATAGTTGGACAAGATTGTGGGATTGTAGTTGTGTGGTCAGCTCACAGACAGTTGTGTAGGGACGCCGAGAATCGAAATAGTTGGACAGATAAGATAAGGTTGTGGAGCTGATCAATTGGATTGTTTGTTAGCTCTTACAGTAGGGACACCGAAAAAGTTGGACATGGTTTTTGGAGTTGTATTTATTTCTAACAGGCAGATGGTTGTGGGGACACCGATGGAGTTGTATTGTTAGCTCTGGCTCTCCTCCGAACTTCGTCCCCATATTTTATGGCGGCCAAACAAATACCCTAACATGGCCTCAGTCGTGTGTAAATTGCGGAGTATCTGCCGAGAAAGAAATCGTGGCAAAATTAGGAGTGGTTCTGAATAAAGGGCCAATATTATTAAGAGCAAACAAATACTTTAACAGGGTCTCAGTGATATGTTAATTGCGGACATGTTTCTGCGACTATGCCCGGCACAGTTGGGGGGGGGGGGCTAAACTAGATGGCTGGGACTCACAGATAAATAAATTGGAAGAATTTGCAGGAGATGCAGTAGCTGCTGCTCAGGGGATACGCTGGGCGGCGAGTTTAACCGCGTTATTTATCGCCTGCAGAAACGCTAGACATTGTCAACGGTCGCTATTATCGTCTGCAGTGTTGCGTTTCTTGAAATTGTCAAGTAATCCTAGTTTTGCCACATTTCTTCCTCAGCGTGAACTCCGCCATTTATACATGATTGAGGGGACGAAGTTCGGTGAAGAGCCAACTGACTTGGCCTCACGGTTGCAGATATATCTTCTCAAGGAGATCATCACACAGGTTGGGATCTTCCTCTCTTTTACCTGGGTCAGTTGTCAGGTGTGACAATGATAACGATGTTAGTGGTGACACAGAAATCTGGCTACTGGACTGACAATCATGACCTATGTGGTCACATGGTGAAGAGTCAACAGATGAGATTTAGGGCACCTATCCCTGTGCTTTTTTCATCCTAGAAAGAAAGGGTACCCACCACAAACTGTCTACAAATGTACCGGTTCTCACTGCAGAGTTCTAAAAAAGATGCCAGAACTTTTAACAAAATGTCTATAAAGATGCCAGTACTTATAACAAAGTGTCTATAAAGATGCCATAACCTAGAACAAAATGTCAATAAAAATGCCAGTACTTAGTACTTAAAACAGTATCTATAAAGATGCCAGTACTTACAACAAATCTGTTGGTTTACATGTTACTTAAGCTGTTATATAATCTGTTGGTCTACATGTTACTAAAGATTTTATCCCTGTAATGTGTAACCAGCTAGTTTCAACCTTGCCCTGTTGCCTGTGCCTCAGGATCTGGTCAAGGATACCTATGGAAGCCATGGACTGCGGACATCTGAGCTTGGACAGTTCACAAAGACATGTGCCAGGCAGCTCTATACTGGGTGAGGCCCAAGTTTCCTTGTGTGATGCCTCCATGAAGCGTGAAGCCAGTCACATGGAAGACCAGCTGTCCAGAAAGGCTCAAAAGAAACGGCGGTCGAGTCTTTCTGCTCATAGGCGATCCATAACGGGGGATGTCATCTCAGTATTTCAGATTGGTAGGTGTTATGTAGTTCTGTCATCATGCCATGCTGTCATATCATGTTAGGTGATGTCATGTCATGTTGGTAGGTGTTGTGATATCTTGTTAGTAGATGTTGTGATGTCATGTTGGTAGATGTTGTGTGGTGCTCTCTTGTTGGTAGATGTTGTGATGTCATGTTGGTAGATGTTGTGATGTCTTGTTGGTAGATGCTGTTTGTGCTGTGATGCCATGCTTGTAAATGTTGGGTTCTGCCATCATATTGGTAGATGTGTTGTGCTGTCATTTCATGTTATGTTGTGCTGTCATTTCATGTTATGTTGTGCTGTCATTTCATGTTATGTTGTGCTCCCATGTTAAGCTGGTAGATGCTGTGTTGTGCTGTCATGTTATTAGATGTGTTGTGCTGTCATGTTGGTAGATTTTATGTTGTGCTTCCATGTCATGTTGGCAGATGTGCTGTGCTGTTAAATCATGTTAGCTTGTGTTGTGCTGTCATTATGTCAAACTGTTAGATGTTGCGTTGTGCTGTCATATCTTGTTGGTAGGTGTTGTCTGTCCAAAAGCACAGGGAAGATCAAAATCTGTTCTTGAATTTAAAGAAAATGAAAATAATGTCCTCAGATAAAACTGGCTTTCACCCAAAAATAACAATAAATGATGAAGAAATTGAAAATGTCACAAACTTTGAATATCTAGGCTCTATAATTAACATCAATGGAGACTGTTCGACAGAAATTGATAGGAGAATGGCCGTAGCCATGTAAAGATTGAACAGCCTTAAAAGTCTATGGTTAAGCACCAGCAAGGAGATCAAAATTAGAATTTTGACAGTATGCATCTTCCCTGTGGCTACATACGGATGTGAGTCGTGGACTATCTCTCAGTCCTTAAGAAAGAGAATAGGGGCTTTTGAGCTGAAATATTTTGGTCATATCAAGCGCCACGACAGACTGGAAAAAAATATAGCAGAAGGCATGGTACCAGGAAGGAGGGGCGGGGGCCGACCATCACAAAGATAGGCACAGGATATAAGTGACTCCTTGAGTGTGAAAGTACATGAGGCGGGAGAACTGGCGAGAGAACAAGTTTCTTTCAGGCAGACTGTGATGAGAGCGACGTTTTGCAAAGGACCTGCTACATGATGAGGTGTTGTGTTGTGCTGTCATGTTGGCAGGTGTTTTGTGGTGCTGACATGTTAGGGATATATATATATATGTTTGTATATATATGTGTTATATAGATATTATATATATATATATATATATATATATATATAATATATATATATATATATATATATATATATATATATCCCAAATGTAAAGATGTTCTACTCTTCTGTCACTACTGTTCCATATGTACAGATGTTCTACTCTTCTGTCACTACTGTTCCATATGTACAGACGTTCCACTCGTCTATCACTACTGTTCCATATGTACAGATGTTCCACTCGTCTATCACTACTGTTCCATATGTACAGATGTTCCAGTCGTCTATCACTATTGTCATATATGTACAGATGTTCCACTCTTCTATCACTATTGTCCCAAATGTACAGATGTTCCACTCGTCTATCACTATTGTCACATATGTACAGATGTTCCACTCTTCTATCACTATTGTCACATATGTACAGATGTTCCACTCTTCTATCACTATTGTCACATATGTATGTACAGATGTTCCACTCGTCTATCACTATTGTAACATATGTACAGATGTTCCACTCGTCTATCACTATTGTCACATATGTACAGATGTTCCACTCGTCTATCACTACTGTCACATATGTACAGATGTTCCACTCGTCTATCACTACTGTCACATATGTACAGATGTTCCACTCTTCTGTCACTACTGTCCCAAATGTACAGATGTTCTACTCTTCTGTCACTACTGTTCCATATGTACAGATGTTCTACTCTTCTGTCACTACTGTTCCATATGTACAGATGTTTCACTCGTATGTCACTACTGTTCCATATGTACAGATGTTCCACTCTTCTATCACTATTGTCACATATGTACAGATGTTCCACTCTTCTATCACTATTGTCACATATGTATGTACAGATGTTCCACTCGTCTATCACTATTGTAACATATGTACAGATGTTCCACTCGTCTATCACTATTGTCACATATGTACAGATGTTCCACTCGTCTATCACTATTGTCACATATGTACAGATGTTCCACTCTTCTATCACTATTGTCACATATGTGCAAATGTTCCACTCTTCTATCACTATTGTTCCATATGTACAGATGTTCCACTCGTCTATCACTAATGTCCCATATGTACAGATGTTCCACTCTTCTATCACTAATGTCCCATTTGTACAGATGTTCCACTCGTCTATCACTAATGTCCCATTTGTACAGATGTTCCACTCGTCTATCACTACTGTTCCATATGTACAGACGTTCCACTCGTCTATCACTACTGTTCCATATGTACAGATGTTCCAGTCGTCTATCACTATTGTCATATATGTACAGATGTTCCACTCTTCTATCACTATTGTCCCATATGTACAGATGTTCCACTCGTCTATCACTATTGTCACATATGTATGTACAGATGTTCCACTCTTCTATCACTATTGTCACATATGTATGTACAGATGTTCCACTCGTCTATCACTATTGTCACATATGTACAGATGTTCCACTTGTCTATCACTATTGTCACATATGTACAGATGTTCCACTCTTCTATCACTATTGTTCCATATGTGCAGATGTTCCACTCGTCTATCACTATTGTCACATATGTACAGATGTTCCACTCTTCTATCACTAATGTCCCATATGTACAGATGTTCCACTCTTCTATCACTAATGTCCCATTTGTACAGATGTTCCACTCGTCTATCACTAATGTCCCATTTGTACAGATGTTCCACTCTTCTATCACTATTGTCATATATGTACAGATGTTCCACTCGTCTATCACTATTGTTCCATATGTACAGATGTTCCACTCTTCTATCACTATTGTCATATATCTACAGATGTTCCACTCTTCTATCACTATTGTCACATGTGTACAGATGTTCCACTCTTCTATCACTATTTTCCCATATGTACAAATGTTCCACTCTTTAATCACTATTGTCACATGATTTTCACTCTTGCAGATTCTGAGTCAGGAAGTCAGACGAGTTCAGAAAGTAGCAGTCAACGGAGCACTGCTTCTGATGGTCAGACATCACAGAGTGGTGCTGCAGACATGACCAGGTGTGCAAGTCTTTCATTGTGTGCTGCTCTCTTCTGTAGGGTTCTCCCTGACCTGATGTCCTATTTGTGTGTTCTGCCTGACATCATGCACTTTTCTAGCAGTCTGGCACTTGAGATGTTTTCCACATTTTCTGTAAGAAATGAGACCAGAGATCAACAGCATCTCAACATATTGCCCCTGTATGCTACCTGCTAACTGTTTATTTTCTGAGAGGAAAGTGCTGCAGCTGTGTCCACAACTGGCAGTAGAAAAGAACCGTATACTTGCGATCGGAACAAAGAAGCAAAGATCTATGGTCTACTGCCAGTATTCCATGGAAGACAGACCTAGACACAGGCAAAATAACATTACCACCTACTGCCTCAGCACTGGCTACTGCAGACCTACTGGTACATCTGTACTGTGTCAAAGTCTTTCACCAGCCGTGTTATGTTACCACAGTTGATGTCATTGTACATTGGACATTCCCAGGCATGCTCAGTGCTTCCATGCAGCAGCCACTCCAGAGTACCTCTACCTCTACTCTGTTAGACAGTTATACTGTTGTTGTATTGTTTAAGGGGGCATTTTCTATATTCTGTGAGACATGCTGTTTTTTGTCATGTCTAAGGGGACATTTTCTATATTCTGTTAGACATGCTGTTTTTTGTCTTGTCTAAGTGGACATTTTCTATATTCTGTTAGACATGCTGTTTTTTGTCTTGTCTAAGGGGACATTTTCTATATTCTGTTAGACATGCTGTTTTTTTGTCTTTTCTAAGGGGACATTTTCTATATTCTATTAGACATGCTGTTTGTTGTCTTGTCTAAGGGGACATTATCTGTCAGGCACACTGTTTATTGATTTGTCTTAGGGAACATTTTCTATAATCCCGTCTTTTATTAGACATTCCTTTCGTTGTCTTGTCAAAGGAAACATTTTCTATATTCCTGTCTTCTATTAGACATTCCTTTCATTGTCTTGTCAAAGAAAACATTTTCTATATTCCTGTCTTCTATTAGACATTCCTTTCGTTGTCTTGTCAAAGGAAACATTTTCTATATTCCTGTCTTCTATTAGACATTCCTTTCGTTGTCTTGTCAAAGGGAACATTTTATTTATTCCTTTCTTCTGTTAGATGTACTATTTGTTGTCTTGTCTTAGGGGACAGTTTCTGTATTGCTTTCTTCTGTTAGACGCACTATTTGTTGTCTTGTCCAAGGAGAATATTTTTACTTTTAACACTTTACTGACCAACCCAGCAGATTTATGAATTTCCGGTCCTACCCTCCGTTGGCTTAATTCGTCGAGCTGCGAATTCGCGACAAGTAGACTGCAAACAGACGTCCCTATCGGTAGTTTTTGAATTGAGCTTCATCTAGGTATTTTTATTATTCCAAGATGGCTGCGCCTATTATCATTATCACTTTAAGCCAATACAAGTGTTGTTTTCAGTGAAAGTTTGATAATTTTCTTTACCAGCACATATTCAGCCTTTTTGTCTTGTTTGATGACAAAAACCAGACTAGTAGTATTGATTATTGAGAATCTGCCAGGAAATTTAGCGCTGAAATTGATAATTCCTGGATAAGTAGAGATTCACCTGTGATTTTTATCGTCATCTGGCAACTGAAAGTAGCAACAACGATGATAGACTTGACAATAGAGATGATAGACTTGACAACAGAGATGATAGACTTGACAACAGAGATGATAGACTTGACAACAGAGATGATAGACTTGACAACAACAATGATAGACTTGACAACAATGATGATAGACTTGACAACAACGATGATAGACTTGACAACAACGATGATAGACTTGACAACAGAGATGATAGACTTGACAACAGAGATGATAGACTTGACAACAGAGATGATAGACTTGACAACAGAGATGATAGACTTGACCAGAGATGATAGACTTGACAACAGAGATGATAGACTTGACAACAGAGATGATAGACTTGACAACAGAGATGATAGACTTGACAACAGAGATGATAGACTTGACAACAATGATGATAGACTTGACAACAACGATGATAGACTTGACAACAACGATGATAGACTTGACAACAACGATGATAGACTTGACAACAGAGATGATAGACTTGACAACAGAGATGATAGACTTGACAACAGAGATGATAGACTTGACAACAACGATGATAGACTTGACAACAACGATGATAGACTTGACAACAACGATGATAGACTTGACAACAGAGATGATAGACTTGACAACAGAGATGACGTAGGTGCATCTGAACAAAGAAGTGGGCGTGGTACAAGAGACCAGAACATTTCTACAGCTGAAAATGCTGTTTGTAAATGGAGAAAGACCGCTCCAAATCAACTTGTTAAGCTTGACAATCTTCATCCATATGGAGAGCAAGGTGTCATACATGGTTTGGTGTGCGGCGATTGAACTTTTGGAGAGAAACCAATTGAAACTGAAAAAGGCAGATCGTCCTGTTTAGTGTGACAAGTTGGTTGTTACCTGTCATGACACTAAGAGAGCTCACCCAATATCTACTGTTTACTTCAGTGGTGTTACAGACAAAACAGGTAGGACAAGTGGAATTACTGAGGGCAGAATAATAAGCCAGTTCTTGTAGAAAAATACAACTAACAACAGTATGGGGGCTGTCGATCACTTCAGCCAACTGGGAGCAAACTATTCCTACCAACCTAGATCCTATAATTAGTACGTGCATTATATTATTTATTTATTTTTAGTTGACACTGCTCTGATCAATGAACATATAAGCTACAACACTGCCTACTCTATATATAAGGTCACAGCAAAGATGTTCAGACAGGATGTCAGTCTTGCTCTTATTAGACCTACTGTTCTTCGGCACAGTGTAACAACTTTAAGACCACAAGACACAACATTCAAATTTACTGAGTGCCAGTTCTTTTTAAAATATGAAATCCAAGGTGCAAACCAGACTGTAAAGTGTGTAAGGCTGCAGATAAAAGAAGTTTGACTTGCATATACTGCCAAGATTGTAATACACCTCTATGCTTGATACCCTGTTCAAGTTATAGCATACAGTTGAGGATTATCAACATTCCTGACAAAGATAAAGGGCTAATGCTACAGCTTCAACTCCAGTTAATGAAGGAAGTAGCTCAGACTTCAATTAGAGGTGCATTTATAATCAAGCATTCACAATTGTAACATCACAAATAAACACAATTAACGTTTAAAAAATGCACCTTAATCACATTTTTATTTGCTTTTCAGGTTGACATTTTTGGTCATTGATTAAAAATGTGCTCCTATTTAGCTAATTTTATTCATTGTCAACCATGTCTCCAACATTTTATTGCGCTGATATCGAACAAATTCACTAAGAAATGGAAAAAAGGTGATGGTTTTAGAACATCTCCTGAAATTTCTATAAAAATCAAAACAGATTCAAGATCGCTGCCATGAACATGTGACATATTTGCATAATATACATTTTTTCATGCGTAGCAACCATCCGTAAAGGTGCTTTGAAGGGTTTAAAATCCTACGCTCATTTATGAATTTTATTAGAAAACCGGTCTTGTGCTGGTCAGGAAAGGGTTGAACAGGTGATACTCTAGTAACTGTTAGATGTTTGTTTTTTCTTTGTGTGTGTTTTAACCAAGTGATGCTTGTTATATTTTTGCAGCTTATTGCCAAACCCAGTCAATATACACATGGAGGATATTGTTGCCAAAATGAGGGCACAGATTGCAGTGTGAGTTGCCCTGTATTGTTAGTCTCTCCTGTAACTTTGTGTGTGTGTATTAGCCACAGGCTACAGTCTCTCTCTTTCTCTCTCTCTCTCACTCTCAAGCAGAGTTATTTCCCATTTTGATATCTTCAATACAAGACCCGACCAAGATATTATTTTCACCTAGCATTATATTTAGTGGCACAAGTTGAGTTTGCAATCAGTATTTAACTGATGATTGACACATCTACAAGAGTTACAGAGTAACAATTAAATGCAACAAAAAAAAGATCAAAACAAGCAATGTCATATCTTGGTTTCTCCCATCCTAGGCTACACAAGGAGTGTCAGCAGTGGACCAACCTCCTGCAGGACTATCAGCAACAGGAGGAGTCTTCTCAACTGTAAGTGGTTTTGTTTTTTATGTTTGTGCCCTTGTCTATGCAATCAGTGGGCCCTTGTCTATGAAATCAGTGGGCCCTTGTCTATGCAGTCAGTTTGCCCTTGTCTATGAAGTCAGTGGGCCCTTGTCTATGCAATCAGTGGGCCCTTGTCTATGCAATCAGTGGGCCCTTGTCTATGAAATCAGTGGGCCCTTGTCTATGAAATCATTGGGCCCTTGTCTATGAAATCAGTGGGCCCTTGTCTATGAAATCAGTGGGCCCTTATCTATGAAATCAGTGGGCCCTTGTCTGTGAAGTCAGTGTGCTCTTGTCTGGGAAATCAGTGTGCTCTTGTCTGTGAAGTCAGTGTGTTCTTGTCTGTGAAGTCAGTGTGCTCTTGTCTGTGAAGTCAGTGTGCTCTTGTCTGTGAAGTCAGTGTGCTGTTGTCTGTGAAGTCAGTGTGCTGTTGTCTGTGAAGTCAGTGTGCTCTTGTCTGTCAAGTCAGTGTGCTCTTGTCTATGAAGTCAGTGGGCTCTTGTCTATGAAGTCAGTGGGCTCTTGTCTATGAAGTCAGTGTACTCTTGTCTGTGAAGTCAGTGGGCTCCTGTCTGTGAAGTCAGTGGGCTCCTGTCTATGAAATCAGTGGGCTCTTGTCTGTGAAGTCAGTGTGCTCTTGTCTGTGAAGTGTTGAGTCTATGTTAGTCTGGGACGGCCAGACACAGAGAGTGTTGAGTCTATGTTAGTCTGGGACGGCCAGACACAGAAAGTGTTGAGGCTTGACTGCAGGTCAGGAAACATGGAACTGTAAGTAGATTGTCATGAGGATCCCAAGAAATGCGAGAAGCAATCTGATTGGCTGGTACACAAACCTGCAAGCCAATCTCAAGGCTTGCATTACATAGGGCCGACCGATCAGCCCAGTCGTCCTTTTGGCAATTTGTGTTGGGCGGATATTTTGGCTGAGCTTTTCCAAAAGGTTAACTGAAAATTAAATTGCTGACTAAATTGTCAATTTTTTAGTTGAAATAATTTAATCTTGAAGTACACTGTTCTAGACGAAATGTTTGCTTGCTGGTGTAATTCTCTGATGATTACAAATAGGGGTGCTCAGACAACTACAAACCCACTATAGGGGGTGCTCAGACAACTACAAACCCACTATAGGGGGTGCTCAGACAGCTGTAAGCACACTATAGGGGGTGCTCAGACAGCTGTAAGCACACTATAGGGGGTGCTCAGACAGCTGTAAGCCCACTATAGGGGGTGCTCAGACAGCTACAAACCCACTATAGGGGGTGCTCAGACAACTACAAACCCACTATAGGGGGTGCTCAGACAACTACATACCCACTATAGGGGGTGCTCAGACAGCTACAAACCCACTATAGGGGGTGCTCAGACAGCTACAAACCCACTAAAGGGGGTGCTCAGACAACTACAAACCCACTATAGGGGGTGCTCAGACAACTACAAACCCACTATAGGGGGTGCTCAGACAGCTGTAAGCACACTATAGGGGGTGCTCAGACAGCTGTAAGCCCACTATAGGGGGTGCTCAGACAGCTGTAAGCCCACTATAGGGGGTGCTCAGACAACTACAAGCCCACTATAGGGGGTGCTCAGACAACTACAAACCCACTATAGGGGGTGCTCAGACAGCTGTAAGCCCACTATAGGGGGTGCTCAGACAACTACAAGCCCACTATTGGGGGTGCTCAGACAGCTACAAACCCACTATAGGGGGTGCTCAGACAGCTACAAGCCCACTATTGGGGGTGCTCAGACAGCTACAAACCCACTATAGGGGGTGCTCAGACAGCTACAAGCCTACTATAGGGGGTGTTCAGACAGCTGTAAGCCCACTAAAGGGGGTGCTATGACAGCTGTAACCCCACTATAGGGGATGCTATGACAGCTGTAAGCCCACTTTAGGGGGTGCTCACACAGCTACAAGCCCACTATAGGGGGTGCTCAGACAGCTGTAAGCCCACTAAAGGGGGTGCTCAGACAGCTACAAGCCCACTATAGGGGGTGCTCAGACAGCTGTAAGCCCACTAAAGGGGGTGCTCAGACAGCTGTAAGCCCATTAAAGGGGGTGCTCAGACAGCTACAAGCCCACTAAAGGGGGTGCTCAGACAGCTACAAGCCCACTATAGGGAGTGCTCAGACAGCTACAAGCCTACTATAGGGGGTGCTCAGACAGCTGTAACCCCACTATAGGGGGTGCTATGACAGCTGTAACCCCACTATAGGGGGTGCTATGACAGCTGTAAGCTCACTATAGGGGGTGCTCAGACAGCTGTAAGCCCACTAAAGGGGGTGCTCAGACAGCTGTAAGCCCATTAAAGGGGGTGCTCAGACAGCTGTAAACCCATTAAAGGGGGTGCTCAGACAGCTACAAACCCACTATAGGGGGTGCTCAGACAGCTACAAGCCCACTATAGGGGGTGCTCAGACAGCTACAAACCCACTAAAGGTGGTGCTATGACAGCTGTAACCCCACTATAGGGGGTGCTATGACAGCTGTAAGCCCACTATAGGGGTGCTCAGACAGCTACAAGCCCACTATAGGGGGTGCTCAGACAGCTACAAACCCACTATAGGGGGTGCTCAGACAGCTACAAACCCACTATAGGGGGTGCTCAGACAGCTACAAGCCCACTTTAGGGGTGCTATGACAGCTGTAAGCCCACTATAGGAGTAGCTATGACAGCTATATGCCCACTGTAATGGTAATGTGATAGCTACAAGCCCACTATAGGAGTAGCTATGACAGCTATATGCCCACTGTAATGGTAATGTGATAGCTACAAGCCCACTTTAGGGGTAGCTATGACAGCTACAAGCCCACTTTAGGGGTAGCTATGACAGCTACAAGCCCACTTTAGGGGTAGCTATGACAGCTACAAGCCCACTTTAGGGGTAGCTATGACAGCTATATGCCCACTGTAATGGTAATGTGATAGCTACAAGCCCACTGTAGGGGGTGCTATGACAGCTGAAAATTCACTATGTGGGTCCACTTCACAGACTTGCTGAGAGCTTGACCCTGCAAGTGTTGGACATCCCCGAAGACGTGAAACAACTTGCTGTATCTGACTATGTTACATCCAGCCCAGTAGACCTCCAGTCTGTGAAGAGCCGACTTGAAAGATCGTTGCTACAGTACAGGTTTGATGTACGTAGCTACAATGATTTCAAATATATTGTTACTGTACAGGTTTGATGTACGTAGCTACAATGATTTCAAATATATTGTTACTGTACAGGTTTGATGTACGTAGCTACAATGATTTCAAATAAATAATTACTGTACAGGTTTGATCTACGCAGCTACAATAATTTCAAATATATAATTACTGTACAGGTTTGATCTACGTAGCTACAATAATTTCAAATATATAATTACTGTACAGGTTTGATCTACGTAGCTACAAAAATTTCAAATGTATTGTTACTGTACAGGTGTGATGTACGTAGCTACAATGAAGATTTTAAATATATTGTTACTGTACAGGTTTGATGTATGCAGCTACAATGAAGATTTTAAATATATTGTTACTGTACAGGTTTGATGTACGTAGCTACAATGAAGATTTTCAAATATGTTGTTACTGTACAGGTGTGGTGTACGCAGCTACAATGAAGATTTCAAATATATTGTTACTGTACAGGTTTGATGTACGTAGCTTCACTAGGTGTTTGATGCAATAGAAATTCCGTATCTGCTTGGGGCATTCCCCAAAGCATCAGTAGCATTCCTAACTTGTGTTGGTTTGGTCTCAACTGAGTACAGCCATCGATAATGCTCCACTCAACTGGAGTACAGCCATCGATAATGCTCCACTCAACTGGAGTACAGCCATCGATAATGCTCCACTCAACTGGAGTACAGCCATCGATAATGCTCCACTCAACTGGAGTACAGCCATCGATAATGCTCCACTCAACTGGAGTACAGCCATCGATAATGCTCCACTCAACTGGAGTACAGCCATCGATAATGCTCCACTCAACTGGAGTACAGCCATCGATAATGCTCCACTCAACTGGAGTACAGCCATCGATAATGCTCCACTCAACTGGAGTACAGCCATCGATAATGCTCCACTCAACTGGAGTACCGCCATCGATAATGCTCCACTCAACTGGAGTACAGCCATCGATAATGCTCCACACCACTGGAGTACAGCCATCGATAATGCTTCACTCAACTGGAGTACAGCCATCGATAATGCTTCACTCAACTGGAGTACAGCCATCGATAATGCTCCACTCAACTGGAGTACAGCCATCGATAATGCTCCACTCAACTGGAGTACAGCCATCGATAATGCTCCACTCAACTGGAAAAAAAAATTGGTGGGCTGATGGTCTTCTCTGTGCCCTCATACATGCCTCTCATATTTCCACTACTGCTAGCATTTTTTTCAATGCTTTTACATAACTGGATCCAGTAGTCATCAGCACCCTTTTGCAAATGATTTCTAGCTTCTCTCAAATTAATGAGAGGGTTTCTTGTAGAGAGACCAAACTGTTGTATTTTGTGTCTGTAATTTACCAGGGCTGATGTCCTTGCTATATGGTTCCTTTAGCTTTACCAGTGACCATCCCTGTTTGGTTCCAGCCCATTTTTGCAAGGAAACAAGAATAGACCAACTGTTTCTTAACAGGCATGTGTAGGGGGGGTAGTGTAGCATTGTATCCATATCATAGACAACTGTAGTTGTGTCATATGTCTGTTTTATAGACGGATTCTGGTGTGTCTATATCATAAATGACCAGTGATGTCATATGTCCGTTTTGTAGAAGCAGGCTGGTGTTTATGTCATAGATGACTTCAGTGATGTCATATGTCCATTTTGTAGAAGCAGGCTGGTGTTTATGTCATAGATGACTTCAGTGATGTCATATGTCCATTTTGTAGAAGCAGGCTGGTGTCTATATCATAGATGACTCCAGTGATGTCATATGTCCATTTTGTAGAAGCAGGCTGGTGTTTATGTCATAGATGACTTCAGTGATGTCATATGTCCATTTTGTAGAATCAGGCTGGTGTTTTATGTCATAGATGACTTCAGTGATGTCATATGTCTGTTTTTGTAGAAGCAGGCTGGTGTCTATATCATAGATGACTCCAGTGATGTCATGTGTCCGTTTTTGTAGAAGGAGGCTGGTGTCTATGTTATAGAAGACTCCAGTCATGTCATATGTCAGTTTTGTAAAAGGAGGCTGGTGTGTCTATATCATAGATGACTCCAGTATTGTCATGTGTCACTTCAGTGATGTCATGTGTCACTCCAGTGATGTCATGTGTCTGTGTTGTAGAGGGAGGCCTGCGTCCAAGACCTGAAGCTGATGCAGGAAACTGTGGAGACCATACACAAGTCCAATCAGTGGATGAGTTCTTGTTTATGTAAGTATACATACCACCTCATGGTAGAGACCATACACAAGTCCAATCAGTGGATGAGTTTATGTAAAGTATACACACCACCTCATGGTAGAGACCATACACACGTAATCATTGTATAAGTATACATACCACCTCATGGTAGAGACCATACACAAGTCCAATCAGTGGATGAGTTCTTGTTTATGTAAGTTATACATACCACCTCATGGTGGAGACCATTCACAAGTCCAATCAGTGGATGAGTTCTTGTTTATGTAGGT